GTTGGCAAATATGTGGAAAACAATAACCCTTACTCCCATCTGGTGGAAACACCACCTAATGCAGCTTATACTGAAATCAATATGAAGAATTCTCAAAAACTAAAACTAGAACTACCACATGACCCAGCTATGCCACATCTGGATGTACATTCAGAAAACTCTAAGTCCTACCAGAGACATGTCCACAGCCACGCTTCTTGCTACGTTACGAAGTTCAGAAATGAGTTAGCCTAGATGTCGGTTCAGAGAGGAATGGAAAAAGAGATGATTGGATCACAAAAAGTCAGTGCGAGTATAAAGTGGAATTTTTTAATTTGAAAATATTTTATTAGCATTGCTTTCTTTAAGAAGTAACATGATTGCATTGAAAGACTTTGTATAGTTGGAGAATTTGGAAGGGGAGTGAGCGGTAAACACATTATAGTGACACATTTCACATTATTGTTGAAGCTGGTAGTACAGTGTTGTCAGTAATATTCAAAAATTATAGCATACATGTAGAATTTGGAATTTATATTCTAATATATAATTACGTATTTCCAGTTTGAGATTTATATCAGTTTAGTATTACAATATTTTCTATTTCTTTTATTAACTTCCCAGACTGTGATTTTTATCTCTAGCTGTTCAGTTGGAGCATAAGTGAAGGTACAATGGGGCCGCAGAGGAGCAATAGAAAAATCGTGGAAAACTTCTTGGTGCCAGGCAATGGGAGAGGCCCAACATCAAGTCCTGGATGCCCAGGACCACGTGTGGAGTGAAGATCACAGCTGGGCCTCAGGGGAGGTGGAAGGTACATTCCACAGAATGAGTCCTCCCCAAACTAGAATCTGCAAACAACTAAGGCCTCCCCTATCCCCAGTATGAGAGGCAAAGCCTTTGCCATGTATAACCTGGGACCTCAGGGGAGGGGCCTGTGGGGAGTATGGTCACTCAGAAAGATGGAAACTGCTGCCCAACATCAGGAAGTCCCCTGCTCTACTCTGCTCCACCATCAGCCTACCAGAGGCATGTGGAATTGCGGCTCACGGTAGGGGTCCAAAGCTTCAGGCTCATGTGAGGGGACCACAACTCTAGATCATATGAGGGGATCACAGCTCTCCAGCTCACATGATGGGATCACAGTTCCAGGGTCACAAGAGGGAACCACAGCTCCAACTCAGAAGAGGTGACCACAGCTCAGGCTCACAGGTCAGAAGCACAGCTCAATTGACAGTAGGTGACCACAGCTCCAGCTCACAGGAAGGGGACACAACTTATGCTCATGGGTTCACAGAAAAGGATCAAGACTCCAGATTCACAGGATGAGACCCACTTCAGATTCATGGTTCATGGTAAGGGACCACAACTCTGGCTCACTGGAGAGGACTGCAATTCCAGGTCACAGGAGGGGGACCTCCACTCTGGATTCACAGGAGAGGACCATAGTTCCAGGGTCATGGGAGGGGACCACACTCCTGGTTGATGGGAGGGGACTACAGCCCCAACTCACAAGTAGGGATCAAAACTCTAGCTCGTGTGGGGGAGGGGTACAGCTCCAGTTCACAGGAGGGGAATACAACTCCAGGTTCATGGGATGGGACCACAATTCTCACATTCAGAGGAGGACTGCAGCTCCAGCTCACAGAAGGGTCACCACTTCATGCTCCAGGGAGAGGACCTCAGGTACAAGGATGAAGGGATGGGTCCACAGCTCCAGGTTCACAGGAGGTGTTGACAATCCCAGACTCATGGGGAGGGGGATATGCCTCTGATTCGCAAGACGGGCACAGTTCCAGCTCATGAGAAGGGAACGTAGCTCTAAGGTCATGGGAGACAACTACAGTTCCAGACTGATGGGAGAGGACCACAGCTGCAGGTTACAGGAGAAAAACACAGTTCCAGGCTCATGGGAGGGGGACCACAACTGCAGGTTACAGGAGAAAAACACAGTTCCAGACTGATGGGAGAGGACCACAGCTGCAGGTTACAGGAGAAAAACACAGTTCCAGGCTCATGGGAGGGGGACCACAATTTCAATTATGCTGGTTCTTGTTATTTTCCGGTCTCTGTTGCTCTGTCCACACAATTATACTTGTGTTTGTCTTCTGGACTTGCATTTTGCCGAGAGCTCTCACTGCCACCATGCCGGTGCCAGCCGGCCAAGACAGACAGTACCTGAAAGGGGGAGCGAGGATTGAAAGAAAAATCAAGAGACAGAGAAAAGATACTTGGGAGGACTGTCAGTAGAGACTGCAGCTCTGGTTTTTGTAGCTCCGCCTTTTTATACAGAGGAACATCAGAGATAGCCACCGTTTGCTTAGCTCAATTAGTTTCAACAGCTGTTTTTCCCACCTGTACCTGAGGGTCAAGGAGGGTCAGATACTTGTGAACGCCACCATATAAACACATTCCTCCTGACTTGGCAGATTAGATACTGGTGTGCAAGACACAAACTCTAAGTAAACAAGCAAGCCTGCCACAGCTCAATGTACATAATGGCTGCGCTTATATCAATAGCTCCCAACACCACCATCTTGACTATTCAACTACTCAAGCCATTTTCTTTCTTAATTGCCAAGTCTTTTCTTGCCTATGCCCAGCCTGTTACCTAGATGATGGTGATGGCTGACCAATCATGAATGGGTGCATGGTGCCAGTCCCTAGAAAGAGAGGTGCACCGGGGTATGGCACAGTCGGGTGGTCCCAGCCATCTCTGGGTTGCAGCCACCTCCAGGCCCTACTTAAAGTAGAATTTTATTCAGATTTAAAGGAAGACAAAGTCATGATATTTGGAGGAAAATGAATGGAACTGAAGATTGTTATGTTTCACAAAATACGACAGACTCAGGAAGACAAACACCACATTTTCTTTTTTTAGTATTTTATTTTTATTTTATGTGTATGCATGTATTGCCTTCATGTATGTGAGTGCACCCATGTAGTACAACAAATACCACATTTTCAAATGCAAAACCTAGTTTTACATTTGTGTATCTGTGCGTGTATGTGTGTGTGAAAGAGAGAGAGAGAGAGAGAGAGAGAGAGAGAGAGAGAGAGGAAACTAGAAAGGAAACCATGAGAGAGGAAGGAGACCATAAGCATGGACGGAAGGGGAAGAGAGGGTGACGGAGTGACTATATTGACACGACATCAGAGGATTATTAGGGGTGCAATGAAGCTTATTATTTCATATGCTAACTTTAAAAACATTAATAGTAAAAAGTAACCAAATTATCCTTTCCTCTTATTTATTTTTTTAAGATCTGTTTTTGCTTTTACAGAACAGGATTTATTGGGCTTTCCAACACAGCATAGGGTGGAGTAGGGAGAGGTACTTACAAAGGTGTGGGCACCCTTGGGCTTTTTAAAATTTTATTTTAGAGTGTATTTATTATTCCAAAGAGAGGCAATTTTGATCACATTTTTCCAGAAATAACTTGAAGCAGGTTACATAAACATATGTATCCAATGAAGCTGGCAGGGGCAGGAACAAGGAATCAAAGACCAAAGGATTTGCCAACGTGGATCTTTTTTTTTTTTTTTAATCCTAATGAGTTTTTTGGGCTCGCTAACAGAGCACAGGGTGGGGGTTTATTTACAGAAGAGTGGGTGTCCCCCATTTATGGCTTCGCTAGAGTGTCTACACTCAAATATAGAGCCTGTGACTTCCCGACAGCTGCACAAAATGGCGAGAGAGGTGCCTCGTGGCGTTCGCAGCTTGTCTGTCCTCATCTCCTCCCTCACATGCAGCTAAGTTCGACTGAGCCGGTGGTGGGTAACTGACTCCCCTCTCAACTCCTTGACAAGCTTGGGAAGGAGGTATGACTACAGCTTGCTGGCATAGTGGTTGGAGGACACTATTTTTAAGATCTGCTTTTTTCCTTTTATTTATTAATGGAATGAATAGCACTGTTAGATTATCTAATAGTAATTGCTATTTCTATGACCGGAGTGGCCTTTCTTGATCATGATGTGTTTTTAATATATTGTTGGGTTTTATTTTTGATAATTATCAATTTTTCCTCTGATAATTATAAATGGGATTGGCTGCACTTTCCTCATTTATCTGGCTTACACACCAAAGCTGTAATTCTCACAGAGGGCAATGGCTGTATCTCTGGTTCGGATGCTTGTTTTGTCTCGTCACGTGGCTTTTTGTCTTTTTCCAGGGGTTGTCACGTTTTATGGAATGCCAGGAGCAACCCGTCATGTAACAGGAGCTGAGCCAATGAGGCTTTTATTGGACTGCTTGGGGTTAACCTGGCTTAAATTGCACTTCATTGACGGCTGGGACATCCTGGAGGCCGGGGTTTCACTTTTCCTCTATTGTGCTCATTCTGTGCCCTGTTGTTCTCCGTTTCCCCAACAACACCTACCTAAAACGAATATGTGTTCTGTGGGTGCCACCATGAAAGCTGACATTGTCACCAAAGAGTTTTCTATGAATAAGTGCAAGTAAATGCTTTGATATATGTAAACCTAAATAAAAAGATTGTATCAGAGAAGGGAAATCTAAGGCAGCCCTTTAGGTTTAAAAAGGAGTGTGTTGTAGAGTGGTGCATTATTCCACTTATTAAATATCATATTAATGACAGAGTATGCATTGCCATTCTTTCGGCTGCAACCCAATGCTGTCCTCTCTCTTCTGAGAGATCAAGGCCTCACTCCTGCAAAGAGGAGGCAAGGTGCAACATGCCACAGATGATGGAAGAGCCTGTACTGAGCCATCTCAGGAGTCTCCAGAGGCAGTCCTGTCGAGTACTATTATTGAACCTCTCAGCAGGTTCAAGGAGAAAGACTGAGCTAAGGGTTAGTTAGCATCAGCCACAGCACAGGACAGTGTTTCCTCTGCTTTTCAGACTCAACTTTCTGCCCTGGCTCCACCCCTCCAGCTTCTGTGCTCAGAGGTTTCAGAGCTGGCTGGAAGGGTGGTAGTACAGCCAGCTTCCTCGTGACAGCGTGAGAGCTCAGAAGTCCTTCAAGAGAAGGTGAGCCTGCGGGGAAGGAGCCCACAGAGCACATGGGAAGGTCGGGGCATGAAAGACAGGGTGCACCTCAGATACCTTCTGCATGGGGATGGAAGGGGCCTAGAGGGATGCTGAGATTCCTTAGTGTGAGGTCCATCATCTCCTTTGCTTACATCTGTTGTATGCTGTTACCTGAAAACCTGTCACTTTCCCTTAAAAGGTCACTGCTACTCCTGAGTCAGATCTTTAGAACTAGGAGACAGGTTAGAGGTCAGCAAGCAAAGATGTCCCCTAACTTCCTTCAGTATCCCACATCAAATCCTAGTGCATGGATGACTGTCCAAGTGCCATCCAGGTAGACAAGACAAGACTAAAATCTGGTCCACTCTATGCTGCCCAGAAAGGAGACTGGGACCCTGCAAGTGAGGATGGAGTGGAGGGTAGGAGCTCTACAGACAGGGTTTGCTGTCCTGAATGACCTGTATAATCCATCATTCTGGTTGACTGTGAGCGGCAATGTGGCTCTGGGTCCCTCCACTCTTCAGTCTAAGGATTTCTTCTTTTACAGCGCTGGGGAGCAAACTGAGGTCTTGCACATGCTAGTAAGTCCTCCGAGTTACGGCCCCAGACATTCATGGTTTTCTTTTGCACAAATGACCTTGCATAGCAAATGCCTTCGTCTTGAGCGAGCCATACTCAGCGCTGTAAGAGACCTTTATAGAACTTGCCCTATGGAGCTCAGGATGACCCCACTAGGTTGGCTGATTTGTCACAGTGGAAAGAACTGAAAAGTTCAGAGCTTCAGTTCTCTGGAGTGGTCTAGACCCTAGAATAGTTCCACACCCTCTGAAACTCAGTCTCTTAGGCTACAGGTCCCCTGGGTCCTCCTACAACAACTTTAGAAAGTTTTGAAATGAGTATTTCTGATTGTCTCTTGCTCTTGCCTTTTCAGTATGGAAAAGAGAGAAAAGCCAACTGAAAAATTGGTGCCCTACCCCCTCTCCCAGCATCATTAGGGCAGAGTTGCCTCCAGCTCCACTTTTTGGAGGGAGGACAGGTCCTCTCCCCTGCTGTCCCTGGTGGCATATTTGATGTAATGTCAACTGGCCTTTAGAATGGTAGCCTGAGGCTATCAGGAAGAGGCTGCTGTGAGCAGATTCAAAGAAAGTGTGCTGAGTCACAGAAGCCTCGCCTCCTGTCTCTGCTCTGCACAAAGTGTGAACATACACAGGGACCTTGACTGGGTGTTTGGGAATTTGGGAGCCACTGTTCCCTCACCTATGAAATTAGGATAAACATAGTCCCTACGAGGGATCTGTGTACTCCTGTGAAAGGCGTACATTAGTGTCTGAAACATAGCATATAGTTACAAACGCATACATGAGCCTTAAACCTTTAATAAAGACAATGTCACACTTCTACAGAGGAGGTGAGTGATGAGAGAGCACAGAGGACATCAACTCCTGACCGTTGTGTTTCAGGCTTAGCTCTGCCCTCTTTTCCCAGCCTCTGAATTACTTAAAATCAATAATGGACATCCATCGTATTGTCTTATATGCGGCTATTTAGTATTTATGTGTAAATCCTAAAGATTATTTTTCATTTCAATCACAGTTCCAAGGATACTGGAAATCTTTAACTGTATCAGATGTCATCAGCAGCTTCCAAACCCCCTTCATTAGTCACAATACATTTACAGTTTATTTCGTTTGACTCAGGATGCAAAGTCAAGTTCGGTCACAAATCATCTCATACATTTTTTTGTTATGAGGTTTTGGTTAGTCATTTTCCCAGAATTCCCTGATAACTTCTGGAGGAGAATGGCTCTGAAAACTGTGGCTGGTCAAGAGATCCGTGGCTGCTGGAGTGACATTGTTTCTCTTGGCCTCCTTTGTGTGTGTGTGTGTGTGTGTGTGTGTGTGTGTGTGTGTGTGAACATTTATGTCTGCATATCCAGCACACGCAAGTAATATCAGGATATCAATATCAGTGTTGTTCTTAATTTTGTGATTATGAAAAGAATTTTCTGGAATTTCTTCCTATTTTTGGATATAGTCTGCTAGGGATCTTCAGTAAACTTAATATGTTTAAAGACATGTGGATACACCAGTATGCTCATTTGATTCATTTTACCTTTATTTGAAGAATTAATTTTCAACATGCAATTGTTATAAAACCAAAAGCAATATTTACATCATTCCAAAATCAAATATTCAGAACAGTCAGTTCAAGGAAGTCTACCTGCAACTCCTGTTCCCTCACCTGCTTAATTTTTTCTCCCTCCCCTTATCTTTACATACCTACGTACTATATACCACCTATAGTTGTTGTATACAGGCACATATGTGTGTTATGCACCTTCCTAGGTAAGTGGTGTCATCCTTAGTGTCTCTTTATTCACCACACAGGTTTTGCTGCACAGTATAACCGGAGATCACCTCCCAGCCCTGTGGAGTGATGCTCCTTTCTACATCCCTTGGGTACAGAGCACGTCCTTTGTGTGCCCGTGACTGAGAATTTTCCACTTCTCTCCTAGTCATGATAAATGGGGTTCTTTTTCCTTTGGTCTTTATAACTATTATTTTCACAGATGGGATTTTGAATTCTTCCCTTTATATTCCTCCCAGGGTGCCTTGGGGTACACCCTCAGATTTGATACTGTGATGACAAGGGTAGAAACTTCACTGTTGACCATTCGCAGAGCTGTGCTACTTAGTCTTCACGTCAGTGATGTCTGAGGGTTTCTGCTCTCCTCACACCTGTAACAACAGAACACGCTGCCATGTGTTTAGACTTCTGCAAAATATATAGATGAGAAATATACCCTGGAACCTAGCACTTGTTCAGGGACCTTGGCCTTCTTTAACTGGGTGATTGGAACTTAGATATCAAGATCAGAACATTTGATGTGATCATAGGTAGAGCCTGGAAGACCATGAGTTTGAGAACAGTCTGGGCTACATAACATGTTCCAGGCCTTCCTAGGCTGTATAGCAAGACCCTATCTCGAAAGACCCAAAGCATTAAAATGTACATTTAAAACCACCAATTTCCAGTATTTATTGCCCATCTAGCACTCGGGATTTATTCTGCCTTTCTTCTTTACTTGTGACGTCATTGTCCATTATTATTTGCAGTATATTTAGTTATTGGTTCAATCCTGTTACACATGTGCTAACCCATGTCCCTAAAAGAAACAAATTGCTGGATAGAGCCCAATATTTGTGTGCAGTGCTTTTCTCTGTAACTGTAAACTCTCTGGTGAAATTGCCTCCCTGATTCTCATTCCTCTAATTGCATTTTCTTTCTATTCGAATTGGCAAATTCCTCAAGATCTGAGGGAAGTGAGGTGGTCACATCAGGACTTCAGCAGGGAAGTTCTTCCCTACTAATAACTCGCTGGCGTGGTAACTTAGGAAACAGGATGGAGACGGAGAGGGATGAAATAGGAATGCACACATCAACTCCTATTCTACGGAATGCTCCTAACATGAACAGCTACTGGTGGGTTACATTAGTGATTATCCTCTTCTTGATCCCCACCCACTGCACATTTCTAATATAAACTCCATTTTGTCATGATGGTCCCTATTTTTAAAGGTGGGCTTTTGTCTTCGTCTAATGTCCTATTAGGATTTGGTATTGATGGATATATGAATAGATGGGAGATCTTCTTTGGTCCAATCTTTGTCAACCTTAGGCCTCAGAGTTACGTTTGCCACACAGAAAGCATCTGGAAGCTTTCCTTCCTTCCCTGGGCTCTGAGGAGAAGAATAGCATTGAGAGGCTCCAATCGCTGTGGGTTGAATAGAATTCCACTGAGGAACTAGAGGGAACTGTGTGCTTTGATGGGGAGCTCAGGAACCACTTTCATTTTCTCATGCTCACTTCCTAGTTCACTTTCTGTATCCACTGGGGTCAGCACTGCAAGGGTGTATTTAAGCACAGGATGTACATGTGATTTAAAGTTCAGACATTAGCTTCCCTGTTTTATCCTTGATGCAACATGGTCTGCTACTGTTCTGCACCAGGTGACCTTCAAACACATCACATTACTAGATATCACAGTGCACCTGCTACTGCTCCTGAAAGGCAGAGTATTTCAAGCATGATGTACAGCTTAAGAAAAGAAGGCCAATTCTGCTCTAAATTGCATACAAATTTAAAGAGAGTTGTCCCATGAAATATGCTGTCTTTCCATGTCGAGATTGTCTGTGTACATTAAGATATACTTTCCATCCAGATGTGGCAGTGCATAACTGTAATCCTTGTACTCTTGAGTGTGAGGCAGAAGTATTGCCATGAAATCAAGGCTAATCTTACCTCTGACTCAAAAGAAAAAAAAAATGCTTTACATACCTCCACCACTGCATATGGACAGTTTGTTAACGATTGTTCTTTCATAGGGTAGAACAGTGTTTGCTTCTGCTTGGCTCCCTCAGAACTGATGTCTCAAAAACAAAGTTAGAGCTGTTCTAGAGAAAAATATATCTATACAAAAACAAAGTGAAATACCAGATCTCAAACCGCAAATAGTGCTTTCATCAAGAGGATCAAGTAGAAAGTGCAGTGGGGTCTAGGATCCTTAGTGAGGCATAACAGAGATTATTCTAAATGGGAAATCTTTTGGACAAGAGTCATGGATGGTTTACATCTGCAGGTGGGGAATAAGTAAGGACCAGAAGGATCAGTATGGTTTCCAGTTTATCTAATCCACTTTCTTCCCTTTGAAACCACAGTCAAGGCAGCTGAATTCCATTTTCCTGTCTCATCATGGCTGAGCCTGGTGACCACTCTCTGAGGCTCGTTCTGGTAGGGAAAACAGGAAGTGGGAAAAGTGCCACAGCCAACACCATCCTCGGGGAAAAAAAATTTGAATCTAAAATTTCTGCCCAGGCTGTCACCAAGGAGTGTCAGAAAGCATCCAGGACATGGAAGGGGAGAGACATCCTGGTTGTGGACACCCCAGGGCTATTTGACACCAAGGAGAGTCTGGAAACCACCTGCAAGGAAATCAGCCAGTGCGTCCTCTCCTCCTGCCCTGGGCCTCACGCCATCATCCTGGTTCTGCAGCTGAACCGCTTCACAGAGGAAGAGCAGAAGACTGTTGCTTTGATCAAGGTTCTCTTTGGGGAGGCAGCCATGAAGTACATGATTGTCCTGTTCACTCGCAAAGAGGAACTGGAGAGCAGGAGCCTGAATGACTTCTTAGCAGAGGCGGATGCAAGCCTGCTAAACATCACCAAGGAGTCTGGGAACCGCTGTCTGGCCTTTAACAACAAAGCTAACAAGGCTGAGAAGGAGGCTCAAGTGCAGGAGCTGCTGGAGCTGATAGAGCGCATGGTGCGGGACAACGGAGGCTCTTACTTCTCTGCCGCCATCTACAAGGACGTGGAGAAAAAGCTGAAAAGGCAAGCAGAGCTCTTGAGGAAAATTTACATTGATCAAAGAGAGAAGGAAATTAAAGCGGTGGAGGAAGAGTACGCTCAGAAGGGTCGGATTAAGGAAAAAGAGGAGAAACTACAGTCAATTAACAGGAAATACGACGAAAAAATAAGAAATTTAAGAGAAGAAGCAGGCAAGGGCATTTTCAGCCAGATCGTCAGTGGAATTATGAATGTGCTTTTTAAAGTATGGCATTTTTTCCAGAAGTAGTGTGATACATTCTTTTCCTTTATTATGGACACGTGCCTATCTTATCCTGCTATTCTCCCTGCTGACCCTTCCCTATGCCACCAACAATCTGAAGAAATAACAGCATCACTGTGTCTGGAATTCAGCCTACCTGGTGTCAGACTCCAAGGCTGAAATGAACAAGGCACACTTAGCTCCTGCGCCCCCTCCCTGCCCCCCCATGGACTGAAATCCATGTAACCATGAATCAAAATAAACCCTTCCTCCCTTCAGTGATTTCTGCCTAATATTTTAGCACAGTGACCGAAGAGTAACCAATACAACCATCAGACAGTTTAAAATTCTGATGCCAGTGTAAAAGTTGGTCATCCATAGCACTGGGGCAATATAGGAAATTTTCATTGTGGATTTCAGAGCCAAATTCTTTACCACCTCCCCGCAATCGTGAGTGTCTCTTCTAGGGAACAGCTCCATACTTTCAGTTTTAACACTTAGGCATCATCTCTTAGGTTTAATTAATCCTAACTCTGCACTACCTCTGGTTTCCTCACAGGAAATGATTGACAGACACACAATGATGGTAATGAACTAGGACGTGAGGGTGAGACAGAGGGGGAAGCCTCTTCCCACCCTCACCAGGAGGTACTGCTTGTGACCTTGACCTCTAGCCAGTCTCAGCCCTCGAAGTTGAAGGTTGTGCAGTGAGATGCTGGGTGGAGAAAACCACACTAAGCGTGCACTGCGGGCATTAGGCCATTTGTCAACCCTATGAATTTGGATTTGTGCAGATTTTCTTGTACTGTTTTCCCTGTTTCTCTCCTGTGTCATTTTATGAAAAGCACAGAGGATGTGAAATGGAAACCACTGGTTTTTAACTGGTGATAAAGGACAGAAATAGACGTGCACACATTCCTAAGAAACAGTCATTTCCCAAACATCCAGCCAGCAGTTATCTCCCAGAATCTGACTGGTGGATTCCACCCCAAACTCCTCCCTTGAAGGACAGATGATGTAACTGTGTTTACCTATTCATATTCTTAACAGCAACCCAGCTGAAGTCCTTTCCAGCCCATGCCTGAAACCCACTCCTTCTCTCCTTAGCCTGTCTCCCTTCGTACAATGGATGGTATTAAGTGATAGGTCTTGGATGCAGGTTTAAGAAGGACACTGAGACTGATTGCTAATTGAAGCATGATTAATGGCATAGACAGATAACAGCACGGGGAGGGCTCCAAGGAGAGTTCAGGTCCCCAAACCAGAGACAGCATGATGGCAGGGGCTTTAAAGAGAGGAATAAGAGCCCAGGTGGCAGAAATGGGGCATCTCCATCTACGGTTCTCTGGGGATGTGGGGTGGCATCACAGCAGGAGCCTGCAGCCACACTCTGATTCCCAGGCAGGAGGCAAGGAAGCCACTGGGAGCAGGACGTGTGGCCACCAACACTCCCTTTGACGCAAACTCATAAACTCAGGTGAAATATCCAGGCACCTAGAAGTCTGCTAGCCAGAGAGTCACTGACAATGCCCTCAGCAAGGTGCCTGTCAGTATCTATGAGGGAGACGTGCTGTTCTAAGTACTGTGGGCTGAACAGCCATCTGGTCTGGATTCTAACATCATATTATATCACATTAAGACATTTCTGGTGGGGCCTGGGGAGTTGGCTCAGCAGTTGAGAGCACTGGCTGCTCTTACAGAGGACCTGGGGTCAGATACCAGCACCCACATGGCAGCTAACAACTGTCTGTAACTCCAGTTCCAGGAGAATCTGATATCCTCTCCTGACCTCTGCAGGCATTGCATGACACAGGTGCACTTACATACATGCAGGCAATGAACTCATACACATAAACTAAAAATAATTAATAAAATATTATTAAAAAGGATATTCCTGGTGCCCACTAAGTGTCAGTCATTTGCTCTTTGTTCTAGTCAGCCTCTGGACAGTGGAAGAAACTGGTCTCTGGCTCCTTCTAGCTAGCTCATGAGACCCAAAAAACATCATTCATACAGGCACAGCATGATTCCAAACATCTGTTCCACAAGAGTGGGAACTTCCTTTGGGCCAGGAGCTGTCCATAAATGTGCGATTAGCAAAGTCCAGCAGAGTACACACAAAATATCAAGTAAGTGATGCTACTTACATGTGCTTTAAGCACAACAGATAACTGTTTCTCATTATAAATGGCTGTGAAGAGTAATTTTCTTAAAAGGGGATAGATTTACCATGATGTAGGGAAGAGATAATGATAGATGATAGATAGATAGATAGATAGATAGATAGATAGATAGATAGATAGATGATAGATGATAGAAGATAGATAGACAGACAGACAGACAGATAATAGAAGATAGATGATAGATAGAAGATAGAATAGATAAATAGATAGATGATAGATAGATAGATAGATAGATAGATAGAT